GTTCGAATCCATAATTAAAATTTCGACAAATATTATAATTTACACTATAAAAGGCTAATTCAATATTATCACCCAACCACAATATCTTATCAGGTATAGTGCTGCCTCGTTGGTCTAGTGGTTGTAGTAGTGCGACTGTTGATCATGAGGTCCCGGGTTCGAATCCTGGGTCGGGCCAAAAAGTCAGTTATGAGTTTTTCATTTATGTTCTAAGTTATAATTAGTATTACTAAGTTATAGTTTTTTGCTAAAATATAGTATATTATTTATTGCTTGTTTTTTCTTCTTTTTCAAAAAATAATTGAGTACATAAGGTGTTCTATACTTATAATTCGGTAAAAAGTACTAATATACCTACTTTTTACTATAAACTAAAAATTTTTAAAACTAAATTTAACTAAAAAGACTAAACTGACCATTTATTTTTTAACTCATAACAGGACATGGGTTTATTTATACTCTAAAAACTATAACTTTATACAATTAGTGTTCACTATAAAATTATATTCGGTATAGACGGTAATTATTAAATGCAACATATTTTTTTTAATTATTAATTACATTTGTCAGTGGATTAAATTTGCTTTAATAAAGTTGGTGATGATTTTAAATAAGAATAAAATTCTGCTCAAGTTTTTTATTGTTATCTTTGTTAACAACATCGCCTTTAGAACTCTGGAACCGTAAGTGTTTCTTTCAGACGTCCACAATTTATGCAAAATAAAAAAATACTCTTTCTACCGGAGCATTCGTACCAGGTAGACATAAAATATATTCGATTAAAAAAAACTATGTTGAAGATTGTTGACTTTGAATACTTCCATCCAACGAGTTACGGGACAATTTTGTGTCCCGGAGCTTTGTTTGGGGACAATGGGACAGGAGACCGAGAAAAGGGACAGTCCCGTTCAAAACGGGTCGTATGGTCACTTTAGCTATAACCCGGCGACCATGAAGCAAATACAAAGTTAGTTTTTGTATTAGCTTCATGGTGGCGCAGTGGCTTAGCAATCAGTTGTTGCGCTGGGGGCCGCGGGTTCGAATCCCGCATGGAACAAGTATTTGTATGGCCTACAAATAATTGTTCCGGGTCTGGATGTTTGTCTTTGTGCAATATTTATGTTTGTAAACTGCCTCCACAACACAGGAGAAAATCCTAGTGTGGGGGTAACGTTTTTTTACAACTGAAATTGAAAGATTGAACCCTTATACTTCTTGTTGATTTTTGTATTACCTTTATTAAAGTTACCCTTATGTATAAATAAATATAATTACGTATGTAGAAATAAAATTGATTTTCATCCTCATCAATCATTGGGGTGAGGATATCTGCTAGCATAAGTAATAAGCAGGCTAAGTTACAAGGTGCTCAGTTCAAAAATTAGTAGGTAACTTTTCAATACGTGACACGTAAAAATTAACAATAATCAAAAACACATATGCGAAACATCCTATTTATTTATTTATTTTTTATTGCACCAAATATTTGTACAAAAGCCGAGCTATCTATTTATTTACCTATAGTGAATAGGTATCTTTTAAACTCACAATTTTCAATGCTTCAGTTTTAATATATAATTAATTATAAAATTTCATAATTAGATAATATATGAAAATACATAATTCTAATATAATGCAACTAATATATACAGAATAAAAAAATTAAAATACATTTATCTTTGTACGCTATGTGTATTTCCATAAAATAGTTTATTGATGTTGAAAAAATAATACTACTTTCGTACAATAGGTGGCGTCTTACATATTTCTTCCGGCGAGCCGCTCGCTACAGCTACGCTTAGGTCAAATGCTCAAGGTCGTTCGCATGGAGTAGCCCCTTAATAAAATCAAATTTAGGTCTTTTGAAAAAAAAATTACTATAGAAATGTTCATTAATAAATTGCCTATCCATTGGTGTAAATCACAAAATAAAATAATACTTACTTTACGAGGAGATGCATGTTATCAATAATAATTTCACATTTATGTGGTTTCGTTGCAAGGAGATTATATTAATATTTATTCGTTTAAAAAAAATTGGATATAGCTTTTATGGAATAAAGATTATGTAGAAATATAATGTGTTTTTTATTTATTGATATATGTTTTAAATAAAAAGTAGATAGCTCCTAAAAACCACACAAATAACGACTAGCGCGACATTTTGCTCAACCTGCGCCTTAAAATAGAAATCACATCTCAAACGAAGGCAATAATGGTGTTTTCGAGGGGAGAATGCTAGCTTGAATTCAATCTAGAATTCTCCGAAAAAAATATTCTTAAGTATTAAGTCACAATATTTTTTTCTTAGGTTAAAATTTGTACTTTCTTAAGTCGCTAATTATTGTTACTTATTTAATTATATTATTGATATCGCTGGGGAGGATTCCAGCTTGAAGGACGCCTATCTTGTGGTCCAATTTTGAATTCAGAAGGTAACAACTGCGCAGTATATTATATTGCCGCAATGTACATATGTACTAACAATGAGGCACTCGCTTATTCTAACTAACTTAGGATTAATTTATTGCTTATATGATAGCATCTCTTAAAAAAATCGTCCGTATGGACGATTACATACGGAACCGAAATTATAGATTTTACAGAAATATTGGCTGCGGAAGACAGATATTGGTCGTTTAGTAACCGCGTAAGGCGACAAAGGATAAAGAAACAGAAGATGGACGGCACCATAAACCTGATAATTTCTGCCAAACGTGGCAACTATGGCAAATATCACCCCCATGAGGCTATGATAAGCTGTAATGAATTAATTAATTGGCTGTAACATTGATTCGAACCCCATACTTAGGTGCTAGTATAGCATGCCTAATGAATCGGGACGGTAATTTAGATTTGAACTACAATCCCAAACCGTCATTATGAATCATAGTCATTCCGCAACGCATCAGTTTTGGTGTAAATGGTGGAATATACTAACTTTTTCTCTAAATTTTATCGTCACCTGTATGCGGGTGCACCTTGCTGCTTGTCGAATGAGGCCCTGATGGCGGAAAATCTATTGAAAAATGCCGAACATAAACTTTACAGATTGGGCATGCGGGGCGTCATTACCAGCGCTTTACTAGTAATAAAAAGGACGTATTAAATGTCGACAGAGTCGTAGGCTAGCACTTCATCGGCATCCCTTTTTATACGTGTTAGAGCCATGCTGCAGCTATATTAATAGTATAGTTGTAGCACGAAGGGGTCGGCTCGACCGGGGAAGGACCACGCTCTCACAGAATACCAGCGTAAAATAGCAGCTTAATGCTGCTGTGTTTTGTATGGTGAGTGTAGAGAACCGGATACTCTTTTTACTGGAAAAGAGGCATTCTATCTTAGTCTTCACGGCTGACACCGCATCTGCGTTTTAATTCGCAAACGAAGATATATGTAGATGTCTATAGGCCACAGCAACCACTTACCATCAGGTGGACTGTACGCTCGTTTGTCACGCTTATTCTATAAAAAAAAATCCCTCTGGCGGTCATATATTATAAATAAATAATTTGGTGGGCCAGGACACGTGATGATGAGGACAAATATGATGAGTGTGAGGGTGATATAGGAATAATCAATTATAGGGGGCACGCTTCGGAAGCTCTACATCTCTACACATAGTATAATTTTATGAAAAAATGTGGTACTTATTTATTATTATTTTTTTATAGGATAAGGGTTATTTTTTAATAACTTCCTAGCGCGCCCCTTTGTAACTTCGTGCCCTAGGCACGTGCTTACGTTTCACGGCTGATTTACGGTTCTGAGTAATGATGCGCTTCCACCTCGAACCCAGTCCATGATTCTATGGCAACTGTTTCAAGAAATGCACGACTGATGACGCATTCTTGAAATTGCCTATGTCCCGTTGTAGACTTAAAAGAAGGTTGACGATGAAGTTAACCTGTTTTACAATTTAAATCGGCACCGCTACTTACCATCAGATAGGATTACAGTCAAGCACTATCTTTGCAAATTCTTATCAAATCAAACTTGTCATGTAAGCGACGGATTCCTTTCAAAAGGACCTTTACGAAATTTCAACCTCTAAAATGTTTAAAAGAATAAGATCAACGCAGTAAATACTGGTTTCAATCCAATAGAAGGTATGGTTAATTTGTTTCGAATGAAAGAAGTAATCTATTACATAATACCAACGCAAAAAAGTATTACAAAAATGGTCATTAGAGATCAAAGAAAACCATAGACGAGGAACTTAATTACTGATAGTGAGGTCTTACATCATTTTTAAAGAGGGATAATCCACTTATTTTTTATACTTCAACGACAACGGGTGAGATAACGTTTATAGGTCACAGTGGCCATTTACCGTCAGATGCTTATTATTTTCACCTTTGCTCCAATTTAACAGACCGTAAACTGTCTCATAATTCCATCGTTCAGACATTAACAAATTATTTCATAATTCATGATTATTTTCAATGACATCAAAAACATCAATAAACACACGTTTTTATACTTTAATATTGACTAACGTGGGACCATCGCCAGTTGTGGCTCGCGTGACTTGTTCCCGTGGCAGATTCCTATTATTTGCTATAATTTATTGAGGTTAAAGAAATAGTATGATTAAAATACCCTTGTTATTTCTTTAACTGACGGTATATATAGCGAATTCTGCAAGGCATTAAATTCACCCACATTAATGTTGTATATTAAATATTAAATAAAAAGATAAAATAATAAAATAGTTATAACGTTATAGCATTGTAGCTCTACTGGCACAAATTCATTCTCGTTATTATGAAAATAAAGTCACTTGTACACTTTGTCAAAGCTTGTGCTAGTCCAGCTAAAACAGTATTAATCTGATAAATGAAAATTAATTTTTGTTTGTTCCATTGTACCGAATGGTATTCGACGAATAACAAAAAAAAAAAATGTCGAGTAATGCCGAATACCGACTTTTAGTGAGTATTCGCAGCATGTGTAGAATTTACTTTAAAAATATGTATAAACATTTTATCTTGTTGCAGCCCACGTATCAGAACACAACGACCATTCACGAAAAGATCGTTCCATCCAAATACACCACAACCCAAACGAGCTACGCCAGCCATTCCCCGGGATACACAAACAGTCAGACCACCGGTTACGGCAGGACTACAGGCGGGAGAGGCAACCTGTCCGAATTGGACACATTGCTGGACGATTTGAGCAACGCACGGTACGGGAACTATGTTGAGAAGACAACGTACAATGAGAGGAATGGTGAGATTAATTTTTATTTATTTTTATTTTGATAGCTTTTATAATACACTGCTGGATAAAGACCTCTAAAATTCACAAGCAGGTGAGTAGTACATTTCTTGAGGAAAATGCCAATACTTTTTTTTATTATACTCGTACGAACGGTTGTACTTTTGCCAGTTCTAAGCAATAGGAAATTATGCTTTACCATTTTTAATTAAAAACTTTCCCATATTATAAATCACTTTGCGGAATTTTATTGAAAATTATAGCTGTCGCTTAAGCCAGCACCAGTCTATGACGACAGATAAACAGACAGACACAAATTCCCGCTGAAATTCCTTCCAATACTTACAAAGATGTGCTGACGGGTTGGTGAGCGCCACAAGAGCGTATACTGTCGACCTTATCACTTGTCGATGCAACTTAAGTTCGGCGTATTTAAATGGATATTCCATGAGTCGGTCATTTTCTTTTTCCTTTTTTGGTCATGGGACAATGTCTACCCATATGTGCCCCCGTTACGGGGGCAAGTATAAGTCATGTCGGATTCGTAACAACGAAAACCGTATGGTAACAGTATGGCAGGGCCAAGAGAACACTTTCTGCTCACACCCGCAAGAAAGCAAATAAGCCGCTAGGAAAAATGTAAAATTACAATTTCTTTTTTATGGAGAATGAGCCCACTACAAATTTCAGGGACACTTAATGAAATGTATGTCGATTTATTCCTTATAATCTATAGATTACAAAATTGAAATTAGTTTTATTACATCTAACGGAAATACTGAGAAATTAAAAATTAAAATATGAATATCACAATAACCTAAAAAGAAACCAAACGCTGTTTATTTTTAATCTGGCTTTACGGCTCTGGGTTCTAGCCCTTCTGAACCTAAACTAAAAGCTATTTTCTGTTAGTAGCATGAGTTAGAATAAGGTATATAGAATAGAATGGAACAGCTAAATAATTAATAGCATAAAACAAAGTTGTAGGTACATTCAGCATTTATAGGTACTTTTAGACTGATGGAAAATCCTTTTAATAGTTCCGGCAAAAAATAGTGCACCGATAAACAAATGTGGTGTGGAGACTATTTTTTACTTGTATGGATTGATTAGTGAATATACATCACAAACACCATTACAGTAAGTAATTAAATAAATATGATTAAAGCCAAAATAAATAAAAGATAATATGTCCATTTATAATATTACCTTTTAAAGATGTTTTAATCTGGTTGTTTATGGATAAAAACACAAAGTAAAATACCACTGCATTTATTACTGTAATCTTTTCAAAAATAGTCTATTAATAGTGGAACAGACAGACAGACAGACAGACAGTGCTATCAAGACTTTGTTTTAATATATCTTGGTTGGTTAGTAAAGGTGCAGTGTGTAAACTTTGATTCAAAACATATTAACTGATTAGTTATTATACCCCAAACACCATTAAAGCCAAAATGACAAGGTAATAATATCATGTTTATTTATGATGATTAATATGAAGTGAGATGTTTTAATCTGGTTGTGTAAGGATAACAAAACACATCTATAATTTAATTATATTTATTATTGTCAGTCATTATCATTCCAAAAGATTTGTTTCAAAATAACTTGTCCATTTATGATATGGTTAGGAATCATAAGGATATTTTATGTGATATAAGACTGTTGTTTTCAATATCCATATACTTTTTTGTCTCTGCTTAAGAGCATCTCTGCAAGATTTCAGCTTACAAGACATACACACTTCAGCTTACAAGACATAGACATCGACTTCCTGCATATCTAACGAGGTCGTCACTCCATCTAGTGGGGGGACGCCCAACACTTCGCCTGCCGGTACGAGGCTGCCACTCGAGAACCTTTCTTCCCCATCGGTTGTCGGTTCTTCGAGCTATATGGCCGGCCCATTGCCACTGCAGCTTACTATTCCGTTGGGCTATGTCTGTCACTCTGGTTCTACTGCGGATATCCTCATTTCTGAGTTTATCACGAAGAGAAACTCCGAGCATAGCCCTCTCCATAGCTCGCTGAGCGACCTTGAGCTTCCTCATCCGGCCAGGAGTGAAGGACCACGTCTCAGTTCCGTTTGTCATCACTGGCAACACGCACTGGTTGTACAGTCCCGTTTTCAAGTTTTGAGGTATACCTGACGAGAAGATGTGCCGTAATTTCCCGAACGCTGCCCAACCGAGTTGGATCCGTCGATTGACCTCTCGGTCGAAGTTGGACTTACCTAGTCGGACTATTTGTCCCAGGTAAACATACTCGTCAACAACTTCGAGCTTAGTGCTCCCAATAACTACCGGCATAGGTGTGACATGGACATTAAACATAATCTTTGTTTTGTCCATGTTCATCTTAAGACCTATCCGTTGGGAGACACTATTGAGGTCATTGAGCATAGTGCTTAGGTCCTACAGCGATTCTGCCATAAGGACTATATCGTCGGCAAATCGAAGGTGAGTGATGTACTCGCCATTGATGTTGATACCGTATCCTTTCCAGTCCAGAAGCTTGAAAACGTCTTCCAATGCAGCGGTGAAGAGTTTCGGGGATATGACGTCACCCTGTCTTACACCTCTCTGCAATTGGATAGGTTTCGTACTTTGGTTTTGTACTCGGATAGCCATCGTAACCCTACTGTACAAGCACTTCAGCACTTCGATATACCGACACTCCACTTGGCACCGCTGAAGGGACTGCAGCACCGCCCATATTTCGACGGAATCAAAGGCTTTCTCATAGTCCAGGAGGCTTGTTCAGGAGGCTGGAAGTCGTCAAGTCTGCGCGCAAGACGATTGGTAATGACTCCCGAAAACAGCACGTAGACGCGGCTCAGAAGGGAAATCGGTCTGTAGTTCTTTAAGAGAGCGTTGTCGCCTTTCTTGAAGAACAAGACCACCGCACTTCTGCTCCACGCCTCCGGTGTAATGCCACCATGGAGGACGGAATTAAAGAGCTTCTGAAGGACTTCAAGTACCGGTTTTCCACTCGCTTTCAGAAGCTCCGCTGTAATTCCATCCTCGCCTGGGGCCTTGCCGTTTTTAAGGTGCTGGAGAGCCATTCTAATCTCGCCCAGACTGACGTCCGGGATATCATCGGAATAATGTCGGATAAGACTCGCTCTTGGATCGTTACTCACACTCGCGTGTGGCTCCAACGATGACGTGTACAGCTGCCCATAGAACCTGAGAGGTTCTATGGGCAGCTGTACACGTCATATCACTCAAAATCTCAGGTGCCCCGGAAACGATGCTGCCCCATTCTGTCTTCAGCTTTGACAGTTGGCTCTTTCTGGCAGACAGATCTCTGGCAAAGACTTTGGAGCCTTGGTTCCGCTCGATCGCTTCTTCAATACAAGCTGTATTGAAGTTGCGTAAGTCCCGCCGCATGCATTTGGAGATCTGTCTGTTCAGTTGCCTGTATGCTGTCATGTCTGTTGAAGAATGTAGCTTCATCTCCCGTCTAACAGCCATGAGATTAAGAGTGTGATCGGAGAGTTTTTGTGTTCTTCTGCGGCGGGTCTTGCAGAACTTAGCTCCGACCGCATGGACAGTTTCCACGAGCTTGTCATTCATATCGTCCACTTCATTGCAGTCTTCTAGGCACTGAAAACGGTTTTGTAACTCGAGCTGAAAGGTTTTGGGACTTTGGGTTAGAGCCCGAGGGGGACGGAGCGTTGACTTCATTAGACGAGACCTCTCCAACTTAACGTTTAGGTTCAGTGTGCCTCTAACCATTCGGTGATCGCTGCCGGTTTTCACCCTCGCGATCACTGAGACATCACTGAACCGTTGTCGTCTGGTCGTCATAATGAAGTCAATCTCATTTTTTGTCGAACCGTCGGGGCTCGACCAGGTCCACTTCCTATGGGGCCGCTTCTGGAAGAAAGAGTTCATCATAAAGAGTCCCTCTTTCTCCATGAAGTCGGCCAGCTGCTGGCCCCTTGGGTTCCGTTGCCCTATTCCAAATTTCCCTACATTCAGCTCACCGTTCTCTCTTGTGCCTAGTTTTGCATTCAAGTCTCCCATTAACACCGTATATTGGGTTTTGGAGGAATGCATGGCTCTAGAGATATCCTCATACATTTCCTCCACCTCCTTATCGGGGTGTGCCGAGGTTGGTGCGTAAACCTGTATGGCCTTCAGCGAATACCGTTTGGTGATTCTGAGTATAAGGTACGCAACCCTCGTCGACACACTTTCAATCTTTACAACGTTGTTAACGAGAGACTTGTGGACGATAAATCCGACACCACCTTGGGACAGATGGTCGCCCTCCCGGTAATAGAGCAAGTTGCCGGATTCGAGGATTACCGTTTCCTCTCCCTCTCTTCGGACTTCGGATATTCCTATAATATGACAGCGTAACTTGTCTATCTCTTCTTCCAGCTCTACAATCTTCTTTTCAGTCCTCAGGGTGCGTGCGTTGTATGTTGCCAGGTCGAGTATATATATACTATACTTCAATGTAATTAGACTATATTTCCATATTTCTGACAGTGTTTTGTTGCATCTGCCTGTATGTTAAATAATCAAGAAATTATTATAAAATATACAACATTAATCAGCTCCAGATGACCAAATACTAAAGTATTAATTATAGATTTACATCAACAATATTTGATTATGTAAAAGTTGTCCGATTTCTTATTTTCACTGGTTTCATGTAGGGAAAAAGGATATTATTTTTATATTAATTATCTGATAGTAAATGACAAAATAATATTCCTTTCTGCAGAGTTAACAACACAGTAGTCTAAGCATAATGAAGTATCTGATCAACAAGGATATAACCATTACACAAGTAAAACTGGCTTAACTAAGTTACAATACTTATGCAAAGTGTATATTTGCTTCTAGTACAAGTAAAAACTACTAAATATATGTACTATCTATCTACTATGACTGGCATAAATTCAGGATCCATCTTTGATGTCATTTGGTATTGTCAAGTTTATGGAGCAACTTGCTGAATACATATTAAGGTATTTATATCTAAATGCAGTT